ACCTAGGGTCAGGGGTTGGGTCCATTGAGTTCAAGTTGATCATGTCAACTCAATGAAAGAGGTCCCAAGCCAAGGGAATGTCATTTGGTTGGAAATGGGTGTTTGACCCTTAAGGGTCACTTTGGTCAACTATGGTTGACTAGGTCAACTATGGTTGACTAGGTCAACTAGATCAAACCAAAGTGTGGTTTTGGGTTCAATGTGTTCTTAAGAACAATTAGAATCCACTGGGATATTTTTTGGAAATTAATGAGAGAAGACCATATTGATTTCTAGGGAAAAGACCAAAATTCTCCTTAAAGGGCATTTTGGTTATTTTGACGCAGGCCAACCCTGGGTCAAATTGACCCCAACAAAGTGTAGGTTATTAATCAACAAGCCATAATGAAATCTATGAGCATGATCAAGGGGTTTGGGGAGGTTCCAAGATCAATTTCCACAAGATGAGAAATCTAGTGGCATAGGCTGTAAATAACTAAAGGTTTTACAACCTTTAGAAATCAATATGGTTTATGGGGTTAGAGACCTCTATATGAGCTCAAATTTGGAGGTTTTGTGTGTGTGTGTGTGTGCGTGTGTGTGTGTGTATATATATATATATATATGTCTTATCAATATGCAATTAATAGACCCTACATTAGATGCCAATTGATAGAGTTTCAAGTTACAGAAAAATCACCCAAAAGGGGTTTCAGGATCTGGGTCCTTAACCCTAGGGTTTGCTTTGAGATTTAGAATTGGAATTGAATTTTCGAATTCATTAGTTGGGTTTGAATGGAAGCCAAATAGATCATTGAAATTGAAATTTATTGGATATGGTTTGGAAGTTGATTGAAAATTGGTAGAAGGTTGGACTGGAAATTGAATTGAGGGGTAGAACTAGATTTGATTATAATTGGATTTGCTATTTGACTAGGACTTATATGGTTAAGAAGTGAACATAATCTAATCATTAGGTCACTATAAAGAAATCTAAGTGAGTCCTAGTGACCTCATACAAAAATGAGGTCAACAAATGGACCCCCAATATTTATATATGATGATTACTCTCCTGATTTCTCCACTTTTGATTGGTTTAGTGACTATATTATCCTTGTGTATTAAATAGCCTAACTGAGCCTATCTTCACTTAGATTAGGAATTTATAAATATTTTAATATACACTAAACTGAGAATAAAATAAAATAGCATCCTTAATAGAGAGTATTTTTAGGCCAAGAACTAAGATGTAATTAACCACGGGGGCTTGCGCCTGTTGGAAATCAACACCCACATCAAATAAATTCTATTTGAGCTGATATATTGAATGGGGGAAATCTCTTTATTATCGAGTTATGCACATCATTATCAACCGAGATGTGTAGGTTAAAGCAACTATTCTCCATGAATAATCTTATGTATAATTTTATCTTCTCTTCCATTAGACTGCTTGTGTAGGGTGTAAAGTTATATAACCATTTTATCATACGGGATAGTGTGATCATTTCCTTTGCATTCTAAACCCTATGTGAAACATCTTTTTAAAAATACATACACTTCAATAAAATACTCTAGATAAAAGAACACAAGCTATACTCTCCCTAAGATAACCCACACACTCACAAACACTCAAATGAGTTTATACTACTATTTATAGGTTTTCAAATTTACTGATTGCAAGTTGTGACATCGGCTTGGTGGCGCTAAAGTATTGTTAAATTGGTGCATCAATTCATCAATAGTTGCTTTGGTTAACCGGTCAAAAATATCTTTTGTATTGAGTATAAGCTTTGGGAAAAAAAACATCAATATTCTTAGTATTTATATAGTATATAAGTTGGAATATTTTCAAATAAAAATATTTATAATATCATGATCTATCATTTTATATTAATATTCCTTCTATGATAAATTATTTTGGGTGAATAACTTTGATTAATTTAGTTGTGTTAATTGAATTTTTAGAGATTAGTAAATTTATTCATTTAATTAATCCTTAAATCTTTCTATTAGCTTTCCTTCAGTATTATAATTCTAATAATTCATTTCAGAATTATAGAGGTAGAGCTAAATATTGTAGATACCAATTTTTTATTTTTAAGTTTTTAGCAATTTTAATTTCTCTTTTTTTTTATTTATTTAGCTAAATATCTAATAAAGATTTTGAATGTTTGTCTATTGTCATCACTTATCTATACTACTATTATAAAAGTGCTTTGAGTTTCCACCCATATTAGATCCTAGCCTTTCACTTTATTTCTTCAAATATTATCCTATAAATAATTAGTAAATATAAATATATAATAATTATTTAATGAGCGCATTAATCACAAATAGTAACTATTAAATTCAGTTTTTTTGAATAAAATTAATAGCTCTATTTGCATCCTTTTATATTCCAAACCGTAACGCATCAAATCCAAGGAATGTGAAATATCATGGAGATGTCTTTTCAAGTTTTAGTATAAATGACCACTTCAAATCTACATCTATATTATCTATTATATAGTCACTTAAATTTCCTTTCACCTCAAATCTTGGCCATCCATTGTATTTTTTTTAATTTATCTTGTTCATTTATTGTATTATAAAAAATTAATAAATCTAAAAATATATATTAATTATGCAAATTAATTTCTTTTACATGCACCTCATAAAATGCTCATTCATTATATTATAAATAATTAATAAATAAAATTCATTAAATAATAAATAAATTTAAAAAAAAAACATAATAATTATGCAAATTACTGCTCGTTGCATACACCTCATAAAATAATTATGCAAATTAATGACACTTAAATTTTATTGTTTAAATTCAGTAAAATGTTTTATACACTTATATATAAAAATTTATAAAGATTAAATCTTAACCTTTAAAAATCCTGTATCTAAATCCTTATAAATGTGAAGAAGTTTAGTCACCACTTTAATCGAGAGTTTTCTCAGGACTTGTCTTGGGATATAATTTATTATAAAAGATTTCCTTAATAAGAGACCTAAGACCTAGTAAAAAAGTAAATCATGCTTTGGTTTGCTAGAGCAGGGGAAAGATCTCTAGACGTAGATTAAAATTTTATCCATTATTAGTTTCATTTCAAAAAAGATAGGTGAGTGTCATTTTTATCTTTTGAGATGAATATTACATTCCTTATATTGAGTTTTATTATGAATATAAATTTTATTTTTTGTATTTTAATCGATAGTCAATCATTAATTTATCATTCAAGATGATATCTTGTTGGCTATGTAGATTTGATTAGAGAAACATAAAGTGTGAATCAATTAGTACAAATTATTTTTCCACAACAACACTTTGGGATAACCTCCCTTTCATCTTCTACCTTTCTACTTTTTTAAGACAAGCTAGCGAGCCTCATTTGAATGTTCATCTCCATAATACTTCAACAATATAATAGCAATCAAGGGACAACAAAATAATAAAAAGAATGAGTAGGTTCGTACATGCATTTTTCAATAAGCATAAAGAAATCGAGCACTTTAAAGACAAAAATATTAAAGACTATCTTCATGGGAAGCAAGTATTGATTCTCTCAAATTGCTCTAGAAAACTCACTTCATATATTTTACAAGAAGGGCTTAGTGCTGAAGTTTTCTATGGGCTCTGGTTTTCAATGTAAGCAATCCACTTTAACTTAGGGCTTTATGTTCCCATTTATATTATTGACCAAGAGGCTTTTTTTTATCAATTTAATTAATTAAAATAAGCATTTCCATATTTCTAATGTAGCCAATGTTAAAAAACTTCAGAAATTCAAACTTAATTAGGTCCCAAACAACTAGAATATGCCACTAAATATTTTCATAAATTGACTTTCATGGAGGCCAATAAAATTTTGTGGAGGCCTGTAAAATAGTTTATGGAGGCTTGCAAATCTTATAAAGAACCACTATGTTTATTTTTCAAGGACCTCAAAATATTTTATCTTTATGAAAACTTGTTAAACTATGTGGAGGTACGCAAAGAGTTTATAGTGGTTCGCAAACTTTTGTAGAAGCTCAAAAAATTTAAGTTTTTATATATTTTCATTTACTTTCTTAAAAAAGGTTATATCCTTTATTATCAAACATTTTATTTATTTAAACTTTTTTGACAATATTAAAAAAATATTTTATTTTAATAGCTAAAAAATTTAAGGGTATTACTAATATTAAAGCCTAATTTAATTCAAAGGGTAGTTTGAACATCTCTTGATTACTTGTCTTGTTTGTCTTCAATATTTTTCTTTTGAGTTGCACTTGCAAGAGAAAGGCTATACTTTTATAATCTACTAAGCTCTTATTCATGCGCCTAATCATTCTAATGGTGTACCTAATTTTGAATATACTGATTTGAAATTATTAGTCCTGATTCCTTACTATAATTTGTGATAATCAAAATCTAACATAAGCTTTGGACTCATGTGGTCAACAAGAAGTTGCTAGAAAGATTTCGTGCTAATTATCTTGGAGAGTAGGTGATTGATAGTATAGGCAGCCATGCATAGGGTATCAACTCATAATAATTTGCTTCATGAAGAGTGCAAGTTATTTTGATGAGATAATGGCTTTACATTTGCTTCATGAAGAGTTCATGAAGAGTTCTTCAAACCGAGGGTCAAGTCCACTAGGCAAACATGGTAGCAAACAATGGATGAGCATAATCGACGAAGTAATAATCATAGACACCTATATGTGCATGCTTATTATAACTTTAATAAGTCGTCCACAGAAGGCAAATGACTTTAGTTGAGGGAGAATTCCCTTTGGGATGAAAGCTTTATTTGAGTGAGTAATTTCAATGAACGTGCCGAAAGTTAACGCTTCATTCTCTAAGGACTACCCAGCATAAATGGACTACGATGTATTCCTACTTACAAGTCAGTTTTGGTGATTATTCCTCAAAGTGAGGCTGCTATTATATGAGAATTGTTTTGAGTGAGTGTTCCCTATGACCACACCACTTAGAAAATAAATTTATTTCAATGCCTGTCATTTATCTATATGGACATATATGAATATACACAACTAAAATATATAAGAATAAGGACAAGACTAAAGAGCCAATCTCAAATCCACACTAAAAGTTTAATAACACAACACATGACCCTCATCTTACAAAGTATAAATAAAATTACTAGCAGAATTTCCCTTTCTAGGTGCCAAATATCATCATAAATTACAACACAAAAAGAAAAAGGAAAAAAAATTATTGCAGACTTCTATCAAGTTAGATCCCAGCTGCTCAAATAAGCTACAACACTGGTAAAGGAAATCCACAACAAGCCTCCCAAAGCATCTTGATAAGCTTGGCAACTCTAGCACTCTTATAGGAAGAGAATCTATCTATGAACTTCTAATCTGACCACAATCTTATACATCCCAACCATCAACTCTACTTCCAAAGTTCCATGCCATTTTAGGAAGAGACCCATATATGGAGGAGAATCTCGACAAGCATTCTGACCTAATGTTGTAATGCTGCTGCGTGTTTCTGCTAATGGCAGAAGCTGAAAATTTCGAAGTGTCAATAGCCCATGAAGGACGAATATACTCGACGGTCCTCACAGAGCTTGTATTTGCATACAAGAAATTCATCAGTATATCCTCACAGTTAAATAACCTGTTAACAAGAGCTCTTCCTTCTGTTGCCTGCTCGCTCCAATATCTTTTAAAAGCAAGCTCGGTATCCATGAAAGCAGCACCAGTTAATATGACATTGTAACCATTTTTCTTCCTAGCATACGTCTCATCCCTATATTTTAAAGGACTTCCATCAAGCAGCCGTGGATAGAATCCCACAATTCTCTCAGGGTGTTCTCTCCAAGCTCTAAATCCTTTCTCTATGTCATTGCACGTCATCAATATATCATCGTCCAGTTCAAGAACAGCCCTAGTTTGTATAAGCGGGTCATCTTTGAACCGATTGTTTAGAGAATTATTCTGCTCAACACGAATTCGGACGGGCACAGCAGAATCAAATTCATCCACAATTGGAGGTTTACCCTTGTTCCAAACAACTACAATCTCTCTAACAGATGCGCATCTAGAGTAATGTTTCACATATTGCTTTAGATTCCAGAGCCGGGCATCATAAGTCATCGTAAGCATTGTAAACTGAGAATATTGGCCCTTATACATGTAGCCCTCTTCAGCACCGTTCCCTCCATAAAAATATTGAACAGTCATGCAGACTAGAACCACAACGATAATAGAAAGGAAGATGATAGTGAGCTTTCCATGACATGTTTTAAGCTTTACTCTGCCTTTAAATGCAAGAATACATCTGCTTATGTCTGCAGCATACCTCCGAAGTTTTGAGTGGGTATTCGTCCAAAATGAAAATGGCTCATTTCGTCGACTAACAATCAGATAATTTCCTTGATGATGAATACAATCCATGACACCAACCAGCAGTCCTATGAACATAACAATAAGGAAAAGCAGAAGAAAAAATGTCCAACCAAGAAGTAAAGTCCTTGTTGAATCACCAGAAGGAACACGATCCCCATCCATAACAGCAACCCAGTGGCCCGATGGAAGAAGTTGCGGGTCTAGGTGATGGTGTCTAACACCATTCCAAGAGTTTCGGCCCTTCTTTGCTTCTCCAAGGGCAAGTGAAACTGGCACCTCCTTATATTCGTCTTTTGTTAGCTTTTCCACCTTATATACTTGAAGCCTTCGACCATAAGTTCCGCTACAATCCTGACCAGGACGATAGAGAGAACCTTCATAAATAAAAAGACGACCCCCATTTCGTGCACCCAAGCTTTTGTTGGCTCTGTATATAGGGTTTTTTCGGTGTTCTTTCCATGGACCAAGTGGTGAGCTACTGAACCATATTTCAAGTTCTGCGTTCTTCTCAATACTCAGCCTGCTAAAATCTGAAGTAAAGAGCCAGTAATATCCATTATAGTGAACCAACGACGTATCTACAAGTGGTTTACTCACAAGAACCTTCTCAAATGTCCATTCAAGTGGAAATTTAGTAGCCCGATAAAGTCGAAGGTCCCCCTTTTTGCTGCCCTCTGGCATCATATAGGTCTGTGAGAAAAAATAATTTACGAAGAATCATTGCCATTGGAAAGACGTCAAGGAAATATTGCGAGAATAAATTCATGCTTAGCACTAAAAGAAACTACTAGGCAAGCCAGCCAAGAAAAAAAAAAGAAGAAAAAGAATAAGATCCCACAAGACAAATGTTCATCTTAGTTCTGATATTCTAATAAATCTGAATCTTTATGGTATTAGAAGGGTTTGTTTAGGTGTTACAGTTTTGCAAATTTTGAATTAACCGTATTGTATAATGCATATCATATTGTATGATTAATTTAGTAAATTTATCAAATCAAGATATGAAAATTAAGTAGGCAATACATATTAATATAGCATAATAAATCATACAATATGATATTAATCATACTGAATGTTTGAATAATGCTTGCTTTCACAAAATTTTGCCATTCAAACTGATCATACTAGTTGATCAAATAGAATTTGCCTTTCATGATATTTCACTATTCGAACTATTTGTACTATATGATGTAAAGATCGTATAGTACCAATATGCTCGCATTTAAAAAAAAAAAACAAATTTATGATTTTATTTTTAGGTGCTTAGCATATAAACCATCCTAAAACCGCTAAAACATGTGTAAGATTAAAAAACAAAGAAAAATAGTTCAAGAAAGAACATCAAGCTTTTTTCATTTTGCAAACCCTAAGTGAAGAAAATCCATCGAGAGCATGAGCACCATTATTGTTTTCATTTTTATTCAACCTTAAATCTTCCAGGGTTGTTATTGCTATTGTGAAAGTTATAATACATCAAAAGTCTTGTAAGAATTTGATGTGATATCAGATTCATTTATGTAAGAAATAGTGGGCTAACAAATGGGTTAGAGTAACAGTCTTCTCGTCTAGAGTAAAAAAAGATAGAGCAAAATTTCTCCATTAACTATATATGAGAAAGGATTCTACACCCAATGATGATCAAAAGAGATAGAAGTGAATCCTTAGGGTGGTGCGTGAATATAGACATTAGTGTCGAAGCACATAAAAATCAGTTTGCAACAACTTTTTTCCATTACTTGCTTTACTTTATCTTTTCCAATATAGATGAAATATTTGATGATGATGGTAGTTTTTTTATATAGAATTTCTATTTTTCATAAAATTCATATTTGCTTATATCATTTTAAAATAAAATAAAATTATTTTTAAAATAAAAAAAGAGTAAAAGTTCAAAATAGTCCCCCGACTATCAATAAATATTAAATTTAGTCTCATTGTTTCACATTGTCCCATTTTAGTCCCTCGACTATTTAAAATTAAGTCAATTTGATCTCTGAGAACGATTTGTTGTTTAACTTAACAGAAAAAACTCGAGAGATTCGCTTCTTGGTGGGCATTTACGTTAAGCACTTTCTCTCGACGCCTTCTCGCTTTTTAGCCCTCGATGCCTTCCCACTATACGCCCTAGAGATCGATTTGTGCGAGTAAAGATGTGTAGAAGGAGGCGCGAGCGACTGAGGGCAACACGACCGAGACAAACAATACGAGCAAGTGAGGAGATGAGCAAGATAGACGACACGAGCGAGCAGGCTAGGAGTAAGATGCTTTGTGGCGTGCTTCAATTCGCATTACGGATTCGTGTGCGGCTGCAAGACAGACGACGCGCCACAAAGTGAGACACCCTGAGAGCGAGTGCGAAGAGCTTCGACATCGTGAACAGAGATGGCAAGCAACGTGCAACATCCACAAGAAGACAGGGCTAGGTTAGTTGTTTATCTATTGTATATTCCCACGCGAATCACATAAAATAAGAGAAAATCATACTCCCGAGACATGCGATGAGCTTCAACATCATTGAGGATGTAGAAGCACTTAAGAATAGTTACCAAGATAATGAGATGTACAAAAATGATGATGAGGATGGGGACTATAACTTAACAGATGATAGCGAGCAGTTTGCAGACAGTGATTATTAGATGCATCAGGATAATTAGTTATTTGAAAATAAAATGAATCATTCTATTGAATTTGTAGGCATCACAAAAAAGGGAAAGGAAACTATTGGGGCTCCAAATATTAATTTTAATGATAAATTGGAAAGTGATTGTGAAGTTGACTGTATGGATTCTAATGATGATGCTAATGTTCATAGTGGTGAGGAAAATAATCGCACAAGATGGACCGTTATCAATTCTGAGGTTGATCATGACAAGCAGAAGTTTGAAGCGAGAATGACATTTAATAGAAAGGAAAATTTTAAAGAAGCTATTCAGAATTGGACTAAACAAGCAATAAAGTTCTCAAAAAATAACAAAAGAAGATGCAGAGTTATTTGCAAAAAGCCTAACAATCATTTTCTCTACATCTCAAACCATGAAGGAAGTCATTCATGGCAAGTTAGGTCATTGGAAGAGCATACATGTTCATGGACCTATCATAATAAGACTCACATCAATAGTTATAGCAAAAACAATTGTGAACAAAATTAGAATTAATTCACATTACAAGACAAATTTTTTCCAAATAAAAGTTATTGATGAGTTGAAGTTGCATGTGTCAAAGTCATAAACAAGGAAGGTTATTTGCAAGGCTCGAAATTTGGTGCAAATGAATGATGAAGATCAATTCAAGGAGATTTGGGATTACTGTTTGGAAATCTTAAGAACAAACCTAGGTACAATAATATCTGTGTTAACCACAAGATATGCCAATCTACAAGGACAAAAAGCATTTATGAGAATATATGTTTGTTTTGAGCATGTAAAAGTGGTTTTTTAAGAGGTTGCAGGCCAATTATTGGAGTTGACGGATGCTTTTTAAAGAGCCCACAGGTTGGTCTGCTACTAACTGATGTAAGTTCAGATGAGACTAATAACATTTTTTTAATAGCATTGATAGTTGTAGAAAGTGAATAAAAAAGTAGATGGGAATAGTTTTTAGAGTTATTGGCTAGAGATTTACATATTGTCGAAAATCAAATGAAGTTCACATTCATATCAGACAAACAAAAGAGTTTACTTCCTGCATTTGAAAATATACTGCCAAATGTTACAAATAGGTTTCATGATCGTCATCTACACCAAAATTTAAAATTTGTTGGGTTCAAAGGTATTGCACTGAAAAATACTTTATGGGCAAATTCTTATAAGTACTACAATTAATCAATTTACATATAAGACCAATGATGAATGTGTGCACACAAGGATAATCAAACAAAGGGCTAGTGATAAGTTAGCAAATAAATTTTAATGAATACATGTGCAGTTCAATTTTTATAACTACTAATTTGATATTATTTTTTTTAATAGGTTTATACATCCAAAAGAAAGAAGATCGATTAGATGAAGCTTGGAGGATAACACACACAATGAAATTGTTGACCTGTATCATATACCCAAAAGAACAAAAGAAAGAGGAAGCCAAAATTCAATGTACATGCCTGTAAACCATCGGATCCACGAACTCAGATGCATCGATGCTAACACGCGAATCCCGCCAGAAATCCCGGAAACCTCGTATCTGTCGAAGGCATCCCCGAAATCCCGCTGAATCGGTGTGCAGTCGGCGCCGTTCC